CTGGCTGAGTATGTGTCACTGGCTGAGTATGCGTCACTGGCTTAGTATGTATCACTGGCTTAGTATGTATCACTGGCTTAGTATGCGTCACTGGCTTAGTACGTATCACTGGCTTAGTATGTATCACTAGCTGGCTTAGTATGTGTCACTGGCTTAGTATTGTGTCACTGGCTTAATTAGTATGCGTCACTGGCTTAGTATGTATCACTGGCTTAGTATGTATCACTGGCTTAGTATGTGTCACTGGCTTAGTATGTGTCACTGGCTAATTAGTATGCGTCACTGACTTAGTATGCGTCATTGGTTAACATAGGATAGCTCAAGTGATTGCTGGAGAGAACGTTAAAACAGCATTATTTTTGGATGCCTATAAATTAAGTAGGCATGAAATCCATTATAGCAAAGTCCGTGAATAATAACGCCATATCCACGACACATGGATATGGCGTTATTATTCACCGGCTTCGTCGAGTACGTTGGCCTGTTCCATACGTCCAAGTAGTTAACATTCACCGAAGCACGTAAACGAATGTATATTCAGTTACGTTAATTTGCAAACGTAAGAAATTGAATTCTGATTGGCTCCACATGTAATATGTGTAAATGAGACCATAGATATGCATATTGTTTGTAAAATGTGCGAATTCTAAAGACTTTATCATGTTGTCAGTTAATCACAATTTCGATTTGAAGCTATGTCGACATGTGTAGTCGTGTAGATCACTATAGAGTCGGTCTAGAGATTGCCTAACGTACTATCGCATCGTGTGAAAATATGTTTGCATATACAAAGTTTTCATTCTCGTGCAGACATATGTCCAACTATTTGTACAGAAAATGTTTGAATCTTAAAACTTCTCCAGACACTTCTCCAGAGTCACAAGAGAATACATTAATTAGTCGTTCAGCCTTGGAGGTCAAATCCCCAAAACAGACTGGCCATAAAAATTTTCTAGCGATCCATTTTCTTCTATCGATTTTAAATTAAAATCGTTTTACTCTGGCTCGCCGGCCGTGTTTATATGTATGCTTCAATGCTGAAATATCGTTGATATGTACATGTCCTCGCTATAAATCTCGTACTGTCATGATTGATTCATGAACGAATTTAAACTCTTCACAAATATGTTTGCCTTTGGGAATCGAAATATTTACGAAACATACTGTATTGAGTAGCACAATGAGAATGTCTATAGTTTAGACATCTGTTGTAATTTTTCCCTTTGGGAATTGTGTTTACTTTCATGCAAATTCATATACAGTAAAGCATATGATATGGCACGAGACTGTCGAGCCATCAAATCCATTGAAAATGAACTAAGTTTTCGTGTACAAACAGCGGCCAGGTCGACTTCCAAAGTTATATCAGTTAACATTCTGCGGATATTCTGAGTTTTAGTTTACTAGGTAAAGAATGGCATGCATCAAGCGTGCCAGTTTTTCAGGGAATGAGCGAGACGTCTCGACACTGCCAACTTTCGTGCGAATAAATTATGCCAAACGTTTATCCAATAAGAGCTTGCTATTATACGGTTGAGACTACGGATTGAGTGCTATCAGCCAATAGGGAACTGTAGTTTTGACGATTGTTTCGTTCAGTAATGAGGCTTTACGTTCGTTTAGGTGCTTCGGTGCATGTTAACTAATTAATTCAGACGAATTTCATTAAAACCTATTATTCCCTAATGAACCAAATTTTGATCTAGACAAATATAGACAATTCAAAATTTCATCACAGCTTGAAAGAGCATCACAAAATTAGTAATATTCCGAAGTTTACTTGCGAAATGTGTAAAATGCGGATAATATAGCCCTGCGAAGTTTGCCGTTTTTCAGTCATTTCGTAGTACGCACGGGAAATTGACACCAGTTTCTGAAAAAATAGGTACGCTACGCGTACATGAATCTACGAATAGTAATAAATCGTTGCCCCACCCTACTCAGTAGTCAATCGACAATTTTAAAAAGTGAATGGCCGACAAGCACTAGCTAGTCTAGAATATATAATCAGAAAATAATATATGCGTGCATAAACAGCTCATTGACATACCAGTAATTTGCACGAAAACGGTTATTCCAGCAGATTAAAAATATTTACAATTCTAATTGTAGGACGATACTTAGTTGCACACTTATTGTAAACAAATCCAGGGAAGGAAAAACCCGCAGTAACTGTGTCCTATATTGTACACAATCCGAACCCGTTTTTCGCGAGACGAATTCGTACACGCCATAATATAAAGACTCCTTCCCACTGACCTATATAAGGCCGATGCTCCTGCCGTGAAACAAAATATTATGAAACACATCAATACACAATTCGTAAATGATATGTTGAAACACAGACAGGATAAGCCAATATATAGTTAAACGTGAACAAGAATCACGTATAAATACATGAGTGAAATAATATTCGACATGAGCGCAGACTTCATATCGAGCTACCAAATTTTGCCTTCATTCGAGCGCAAAAACGGATTCAAATGCCTCTTAAGTGTCCAGATGACTCCAAATGAAATAGGAAACACACTGTAGACGCTTCGAAAACCAATACGTACCATTTAGTAAATTGCTGAAAAGTGTACAGCAATCATGCTACAACTAAACAGACAAGATTAATTTGCCTTGATTCCCTCCATTTCCATCCACAAGTCGTCATATTTCAAAACGTGAATAAATATAAATATAAATCATAAATTTTAACCCCTCTTTAATGCCATATTGGATTGTCTCGCGACCAAGCCGTGATTTGTAATTACGTAATTTTTGGTAATACCAGTCGCTGATTGGCTAAGTTAACAGTGAACAGCTAACACGTCGATGGCATATAATCTACTTCGTAGATTCAAAAATTAAGGTATCAATTTCCCGAGCGTAATATAAAATGACTGAAAAACGGCAAACTTCGCAGGGCTATAATATCCGCATTTTTCAACATTTCGCAAGAAAACTTTTAAGCAAGGAATATTACTAATCTAGTGATGCTCTTTCAAGCTGTGATGACTAATGTTTGTCTAAACTTGTCTAGATCAAAATTTTGTTCATTAGGGAATATAGGGCCATTCGTTATTAAACTCGTCAATTGGTCGACACTAAAATGGTTTCGTTTCATTTCATGACTATAGCGATCATGGATTATCCAGAAATAAAAACCACGGGATCAGAAAGAGAGAAACGAAGACGCGCTACAGACGTTGTATCCGTCTGTCGATGAAACCATGACGGATAAAACGTCTTGGACGAATTTAATTCATCATGCACCACCGTCGCATTTAATGATCCTAGCATTCCTATCTGTCATAAACATATATCATCTGTCACAAACATTTATCACAAACATATAACTTATCACAAATAGCTGCAATATTCAACTATTAAGCTTGAAACTTGTGCTCCTATTGAACGTTGTGGGCTTAGAGTTTAAGGTTTTACGCCTGTATTCTAAAAGCTCACTCACACTCAAGGAGTGCATCAATCTGAGCTTTACTTGAGTGTCAGCGCTTACGTACTGCTGTTTTTGAATAGCTAGAGGGTTAGTGTCGTATCTTACTGTGTGATTACTCACCCTCCAGCTATTTGAAAAGAGCATTGGCACACAGGGGAAGCTCAGATTCACAGATTGAACCTCCACTCTTTGAGTGTGAGTGAGCTTTTAAAATGCAGGCGTTAGACTTTAAAGGTTTCAGTGGCAAAGGACAACCTTTTTTGGTTTTGCTGAATCAACACAAAGTATAGCAGTACATGTGGACATTAAATAGAGAGTTGGCTCAGATTTGACAACCGATGTCCGGTACATGTATATGTAGTACTTGACTTACAGATGACAACCGTTAATTCCAGGATTTGACTTTTAAAAGCTTGTTTCCTGTACCACTTAAGGATACGTGACTAATTCTCTTCCGTGTTAGCCTGTGTATAGCGTGGTGCATGCTTTATATCAGTCAAAACACGAAGACAGAGGGAATATAAATAGAGGCTTTGTAAGCGGCAAAATCTATACACAGCTGCAATTGTGGAAGACAAAAGATTGAGCTCTGAAGTTTCGGAATTTTATTCTTCACATTTTTGGTGAGTAAAAATAAAATAAATGTCTTTCTCTACATACTGGTACATTAATTAATTAAGACAGTACTATAAGTCATTTGATAACAAAGCAACTTTAAATGAATATTCAGGAAAAGGGACATTTTAAGCAATTCTAAAATCAGCATTGTAATTTGGTTGTATATTTGTAGCGAATGTAGTTATTATATATTTTATCAATACTTTATTCTAGTGAAAAATGGATTTCAAATTCTTACTTGGGATTTCGTGTTTTGTGATGGTAGGATTGGTATGGAGCGAGTCACCTCCCGGCCCCGTCACGATCGGTAAGTCAAACCGTAATATAACGCTTTACACAGACTTAGATCGAGGACGCGGACGTCAAAGACGACGTGAAAATGGCGTGTTGTGCCCATGTAAGGAAATGCCACGCCATTTTCACGTCGCCTTGGACGTCCGCGTCCTCGATCTAAATCTGTCTAATATCTCATTATAACACATTGTCCTTTAGCGGGGCATGTTGGTATGGGATGTTCAGGGACACCGGAACGACAAGATGGAACATGTAGGGTAATCTGAATTTGAATTTAATGTTTAAATGACCGTCAAACATTGTAGTTGCAATTACAGCGTCTTGAAATTCGTAAAATAATCACCCAGAAAATTTTTACTGCAAAAACCCCCTACAAAAACCTATTTACTATAAAACACTGAACCAACCAATAGCCACAGAAATTTTCAAAAACCGATGCCGAAATTTTAATTTAATGGTATATGTGGGTAACTTTTTATCCTGGTTTGGAGTACTTCATCATACATACTACTATATCGCGCGTGACTTTGGCATTACTATAGTCTCCCATGGCACAATATTCGTCTGCTGGCGATGAAGGCATAGTTTCATTTCCTTAGGTAAACATCAGGCCAAGTCCGAGGTTAAAAAGTATTTGAAAACGATGCAATACAGACTTGATATCAGGTTGAGAGAAGTTCCTTCTGATCCCTCCGGTGGTCTAAATGAAATGGATTATCCTGGATCCTCAATACATGGTCCCACCTTCACGCATTATTCACAATCCTTAGACGGACCAACTTACATCAGTATTGGATTCAATAAGGACGTTCTTCCATCATCGACCGTTCAAGATTTACAAAGCAGTCTGCGTTATGTCGCCTTGAACGAAGTTCCCATGCCTGGATTTAACTATCCTTATGGTTGGGATATTTACCCACAGACCCCATCTAGCAGCTTCAAGGACGGAGTGACGATCGTCTCTTATCAAAATGGAAGACTTCACTTCAAAGTGAATACCAGTTTTTTTGCTGTCTACGGCAGATTACGCCATGTGTATGTTCCGCCTGATGCTTCTACTCCGAAATACGCATATTTTCAAGTTAGGAGAGACATTAATGGCTTGATTGATGTCAACATGCCTCTTGTTATGCTTGCTTAAATGCTTAATCATTGTTTAGCAAAATATGCAGGATATGTTAATTATATGATATGATTTCATAGTGTGTGTAATTTTTGTTCTGAATCGTTTTGAAAATATAGACAGTCACATTTTTCGTCAGAAAAATATTGATGCAAACGTAGTCGGTAGAATTCATTCCTGCATTGATTAAATAAATTACAATTAAACCGAATTGTTGTTAAATAAACGTCTTTTGATCTGTTCGCCTGGCATGCAGTCAGCGCGCAGATTTGTTTCAACGACAGTCAGAATTCACAAATGAGTTTGAAGACATGCATGAATATTGACGGAATAAACAAATGTTTATCAAAATTCTACGTTTCTATAAGAAAAAGTGATGGAAATTACTACAAGAAAGCATTCTTGACAGCGCCATGAGCGGCCCTGGATATAGAAACCTAAAGTCACCGCCGTACGAAAAAAGATTGAGATGTGTTATATTATTTTTTCAAATAATCACCTTTGTAATTATACTAAAACAATTATTCGCCTCAGGCTCGGTGAATAACGCTGAATAAAAACCTCGACTTCGTCTCGGTTTTTATTCAGCGATATTCACCTCGCCTTCGGCGAATAATTGTTAATTAACCTTTTAATTAATGACAACAGTCAACCGGTACCGGACACATTACGAAATACTGGGGGCGCAAATTCGGTTATCAAAATATTCCCGATCTTTAATTCAGCGCTAGTCTGTGCCAAGCGCTCTATACGTCTCATTCTTCAGTGCATGCAATCTCAAATCTCATCAAGACTTTTTGACTAAAATTGAATGTATGATTAGCCATCAGAATTTCAGGGTTAGCGCAGCCCAAGGCCAAGTATACATGCGTTTTTGAGTAGAAGAGGTAGCCCCCACCCTCTTCTCCTAGTGTGTTAACAGCAATAAAGTTGCAATAAAACTTTTTGTTGCTTTATCTGAAAGAGCATGAAAAAATAAGCCGATTGGCCGTTTACTGCTCTATTCTATCTCATCTGATTCCGAAGTTATACGCAAAAGTGTGCAAAATATAAATTGCTGATTCAGCACAACGTGTGACGTCATTAGCTGGGTTACTGTTTATTGAATAGTACACTGAAGCATAGCTCAGTTATTATTGGCTCAAATCAAATGAAATTTTGCATACAGATAGTACATGATGAGACGCATGCGAAAATACTTCTAATTTTGTTGTCAAGGCAACACAGTCGTTATCAGGCCCCTTACACTGCTTTTGAATAACTAGTTGCATTTATCTATGTGTATGTCGAATTATTATCATGCAAGTAAACGTTTGGCATGCATAGGTATGGCACACATACCTCTGATATTATTTTGTTCTTATAAGTACCATGAATAAAGCTGTTTTATAAAATTGGCGCTTTGTCTTGGCAACAAAATTAGAAGTGTTTTTCAATGCGTCTCATCATGTACAATCAGTATGCAAAATTTCATTTGATTTGGTCCCATAATAAGTGAGCTATGCTTCAGTTTAGTATCCATTAAACATACTTACCCAACTAATGACGTCACACGTTGTGCTGAATCAGCAACTTATATTTTGCACATTTTTGCGTATAACTTCGGAACTAGATGAGATAGCATAGAGCATTCAACGGCCAATCGCCTTATTTTTTCATGCTCTTTCCGATGAAGCAATAAATTTTTTTGTTGCATTTTTCCACAAGATAATAAATTGCATAGTTCAGTTATGTCAAATCGATCGTAACACTTGTGGTTCGTGTCATCTTTGATTGTATTGTTTGTTTGATCGTTCTGTGAGGCTGACCTAGCTGATTCGTCAGACATCTCTATTTTTCCGTTGCTAAGCAACATGTTTCCATCTTGATCACGGTCATGATTTCCTTTCCTTGACGAGTATAGCTACCTAATTACTAACAACTTGCTCACAAGCGAGCAGTTTGGATTTCGACAAAGGTGCTCAAACATCACTGCCCTGATCAACTTTGCTAATGAAACTCTAGTTGTATTTCTAGATTGGTCGAAGGCATTCCATGCAGCTCTGGACTACAGCATCTTAATCCACAAACTTAAAAGCGGTGGGTGTGTCGTCTAGCACCGTATAGATTAGTTTGAACACTACCTGAGCAATCGGATGCAACAAACGTCCTGTGGAAGTGAATTGTCGGACGCTCTTCCTGTTACTTTTGGAGTGCCCCAAAGGAGCATTTTGGGCCCACTTCTCTTTCTTGTGTACGTAAACGATCTGCCCAGTATTACCAATAAGCCGACGACGCAGTCGTACATTGCTACGCCTCAGATATCAATGATCTTGAAAGAAATCTTAATGAAGACTTACTTTTACTCTTTGAGTTTCAAATAACATAAGCAATTCTCTCACGGCATTAAAATAACTTCGCTCTCCTCTATATTTAAAGAATCTGTCTGATTTTTAATAACCTAAATTAAGGGTAATTTAGGCAAAGTGTTATTTATGAAAACAATGCACCGAATAGGTTGTTTTTTTAATTATACGCAACATCATTTTTTAAAAGCAAACAACAGATCAATTTAAAAAAGCAACTTGCCATAGGTTTTGCGATTTCCAGCAATCTATTGCCCCTGATATTTTGTATAATGTAAAAACAAATAAACTTTTGGCTGCTTGTCCTATTAATTAAACGATTATTCGAGTTTCTCGTTGATGTTTTTTCTTTCAAATCCCACACATTCAATGAATCACTCCTGAAATTCGCCATACACTTTTGAGATCAGTGGGAGGTCCACCCATGAGACATAGTGACGCGCCCGCGATCATTGACGAACTTTAGACTTCGCTAATGCTTTCTTTTTCCTGGGTGTAAATAGCCGAGCTGAATTAGTGACCTCACCTTGGGCTTACATGAATATGGCAAATTCCAGGTCTGATATTGCTTTAATTTAAATTTGTGTGTTAGGTCTTTTTTCGTCGCTCTCTATCACACATGTTAACATACATACATACAGCTATTTCAATTAAGGTTAATGTCCACGAGCAAAGCGGAAAAGTCGAATACGAGCGCGAAATTAAGGCTGCTGGGAATCGCTAAAAAATTAATGGATTTTCATAGCGATTCCCAGCAGCCTTTCGCGCTCGTATTCGACTTTTCCGCTTTGCTCGTGGACAAACCTTAATTG